AACCAATTGTTAGATGGAGTATTGCTAATGGTGAGTCTATTGATGTCTTCAAAGATACTTGGATTATTTATAAAAACATTGATAGATGATCGATATTTGTGCTGTCAAATGATAAAAGTGAGTTGACATTGATATGTTCATTTCTATTGGATGCTGGGATAAAAGAAGATTGAATAATTTCTTTAGGAAGGATCTTGTGGATCTTATTATCAAGATACCAATTCTATATGATTTTTTTTGAAGACAAAATGGAACTTTTTCATTATAATTTTGGAATGTTTAATTCTGCAATGGTAGCTGAGGAATTGGAACAAGATCATTCTGATTTTCAAAACTGGGTGTGGATGAAAAAAGCTAAGCTTTTTCCTTGGATAGAAACCTTCTGGTGGAGAATTCTCAACAGTGCTATTCCTACTAACCATTTCTTATCATATAGAAGATTTCAAGGGAATAAATGGTGTATGAGGAGATGTGATGAAGTCGAAGACATTGATCATGTTGTAACCAGATGTAAGAAGTTGAAAGAGGTTGTTCAACACTTAAATAGATGGGGATTAAGAATTCCGGTATTTGAATCTTTTGAAGATTGATGTAGGTGGCTAGCTAATCAGAATTCTTGGATAGTAAAATTGTTTTATAATATTATTTTCTTTTCTTGGAAGGCTAGGAATTAGTTGGTTCACGGTGGCACTGAGGGTAGCCCTTTGGTTATTATGGCTAATTCTGTTAGTTATGCTGCAATTTCAAAATATTATAATTATGTTCACTCGGGCAATTGGGATGCCAATCAACCTTTTAGGCTATTCGTTATTCATTGGCATCCTCCTCCACGCAATTTGATCAAAGTTAATGTAGATGCATCGCTATTACTATCTTACAAGGCTGGGATTGGTGGTGTTTTTTGCGACTACATGAGCAGATTTTTATTGGCATTTGGTCATGCTTGTGTTCATTGGGATGTATCCTGGTTGGAGCTTCTAGCTATTCAATCTATCAAGGATGTTATTAAAGATTGGATGTTTGCTTATAAGGGTCTAATCATTGAAGGTAACAATGAAAACATTATCAAATTTCTTCAGAATGCTATTAGCAGAGGTGGACAAGAGTCGAGGACCTTACTTTTATCAAGGATTTCAATTATGTAATTTTTAATTATATAGATAGGAAATATTATAAGTTAGCATATCTATGTGCTCACTATGCTATCTCTAGTTCTTTTATTTGGGAAGACATTAGTATGAGTAAGGTTTCTCCATTTTTTTACGTTGTTGAAGGAGGAATCAGATGCTATTAGCTTGTAGTTTGTATTAGTCACTTTAGTTATTAATGCAGTTATTTTCTTCTTTAAAAAAAATTAAAAATTTCATTAATGGTTATTATTTCTCTATTATTGTTAATGGGAAAAGCAATATTTTCTTGAAATCCTGTCAAGGTTTAAGATATGTTAATCCTATATCACCTTCCTTGTTTTTCATTACTATCGAACACTTGCCTAGAAGCATTTTTAATCATTATGGTACTTACCCTATCCTTAACAATAAGACAATGGGTGGTTTGCCTGTTTCTCACTTAAGCTTTTCTAATGATTTAATTATTTTTACTAATGGATCCCTGAATATGATTAGCATTCTCATGAGATTCCTTCATAAGTTCAACAACAATAGTGGTTTTTTTGTCAATAATAATATGACCTGCTTTATTATTCCTAGTAAGTTTCCTCATGCGTGTAATAACAATATTCAAGGCATTACTAGTTTTATTCATAGTTTATTGCCTGTTAAATATTTTGGTGTACCTCTTTTAAAAGGTATGATAATATTTTTCCTTTTTTGGTTCTTATTTCTTTTGTTCAAAGTCATTTGAATTCATGGAGTTTTAGCTTGCTCCCCTTTAGGGGCAAACTAACTTTTATCAGAAGTGTTTTATGCTCCTTATCCATCTACATGTTTCATACACTTCAACCTACTACAGTCAATTATAAAGTTGGAAAGATTATTTAATAAATTATTTTGGAAAAGTTCCAATAATGCTTATGAAATCCTTAGGTCTTCTTGGTGTAAGTGTTGTGGGGTGATGGATGATGGGGTTTTGGGTTACGAAATTATGAAAGATTGTTGTTGTTAGCTCTCATTCTTCTGTTATGTAACCTGTTCTTTTTTGGTTACATGACTGCAAAATTTTCTCTTTTACTTTGCTATTGCAGCTTCCTATTTGATATGACTAAAAGCTCAATGATCTATTGATGAAAAGGCATTATTTTAATTGTTATTGTGATTATTACCATTTATTAACTTATGATATATATTATAATATTTTGTTGATTCTTTCACATCTTGGTTTATAAGTACTTTTTGATGGCAGGTGTTGGTTAAGTTTTTAGCTGTTGCAGGTTTAATTGTTGCAGGTTTCCTTTTTTGCAGGATGATCATGTTGAATGTCCTAAAGTGGATCTCCGAATTTTGGGTGTTAGCACCTGGCCGCCTTAAAATATTTCTTAGATTTTTTGTTTCTTGTCCTATAAAGGGATTTTGAGTTATAGGTATAAATTGATTTTAAGTTATAGGTTTTATTTTCTTTTGGATGTAGCTCTTTGGAATAGTAGTGAGCTTGAATCTGTCTTAATGACTTATAATCCTTTTTTAGGGAAATACATAGGCCCCTTTAAGGATTTCAATTTTTTTAATTATTAATTCATTTATTAAAAAATAAATAAATAAATAAACTGCAATCATCATTAAAT